GGAAGCCCCAAGCCCATGGTTCTGTTTTATTTAATGGTTTTGTCAATCAATCCATTGACAAGCATTTATTATTATGTGCCAGGCACTGTACAAGGCATTAGGGATGCAAAGTCCTTGCCCCCAAAGAACTTACATCCTGAGGAGGCAATATGTACACCTATGAGTATAAGCAGAACATTTATATATAAAATAAATATAATGTAGATTTGGGATGGAGTGTGCTCACAGCTGGAAGCAACAGGAAAGTATTCAAAGTGGACCCTGAAGTTTTGAAGAGCTGAGTCTTAAAGAAAAGTAAGGATTCTAAGAGGCAGAAGTGAGGAATGAGCACATTCCTGCCTGGAAAGACAGTCAGTATAAAGGTCCAGAGATGGAAATTGGGTGTCATGGATACAGAAGGTCAAGTAGGCCAGTATGGCTGGACCTTGGAATGTGAGAAGGGGGTTTAATTGTCAAACAGAAAAGTTTATATTAGATCCATGAATCAACCAGTGACCTGGATCAAGGCATAGAAGACCAATGAAGTTTATTCATCGGAAAGCAAACAATGGTGAGAGGACTAGAGATAATGCCATACGAAGAACTAAGGATATTTAGCCTGGAGAAAAGTTAGGAAGAACATGTCTTCTCTTTTCAAGTATTTGAAGAATCTCTGAAAGAGGTTTTGGACTTGTCTCTGAGGTGTTTCTGGTAGCACTTGTCCGTAATGCATCTTACACCTTCATTGCAGCCTTGGTTCTGAACATATAACGTGTGCACTTTGCACTGCACATGCCATCACACTCACACAGTACCAATGAATGCTCCCGAAATGTGAAAAGGGGGGAAAAAAGTTGAAGAAGCCCTGGGCTAGACGATAGTGTCTGAGGTCTATTTGGAACTGGTTGAATGACCAGACCCAAAGAATAGTCATTAAGAGCACAATGGCAACTTGGAGAGAGTTCATGAGTGGGATGCCCCAGGGATCTTCTTTGGCCCCGTATTTTGTTTTCGTTTTTGTTTTTGTTTTTTTAGCATCGGTATCAATGACTTGGGTGAAGACACCAAGAGCATCCTTCTCAAATCTCTAGGTGATCCAAAGCTGGGAGGGATAGCTAACACATTGGACGACAGTCAAGATCCAAAAATCTTGCCTGACTAAAATAATGGGCTTCTCTATCAAATAAGATGAAATTTAATAGACATTAATGTAAACTACTACGACGAGTTTAAAAAAAAAAACTTCACAAATACAAACTGAGAAAGGCATGGTGAAGCATCATTTTTTTTCTATAAAAGATCTGAGGGCTTCAGTGGACTCACTGCAAGTTCAATATGCATCAACAATGTGATAGAGAATGGTTCTATCCTATGTGCATTAAAAGACTCTTGACCAGAGTGAAGGAAGAGGTGTATTCGTGTTCTGACCACATCTGAAGAGTATCGATTTCTATTGTGGGCATCACATTTTAGGAAGGACACCCAGAGGGAAGCAACCAAGATAGTCAAAGAGCTGGACATGGTGGCATGAGTTTAGATTACAAAAACTCTTAATTATAGTTGTCTTCAAAATTCTAGAGAGCAATCATATGGAAGATGGATTAGCTTTATTCTGCCTAGCCCCAGTTTCAGAAACAAATTTAGACTTTAATTAATACCAACTTTCTAAGAGACTACACAGAAGGAAGGGGCCACCGCCAAAGGGGACTATGACCGTGACTGTTGACTAGAGTTTTTTAGGTAAAGACTGACAGACTTCTTGTTGAGAATTTTGGATAGATGTGATAATAAGGATTTTAGGTCAGATATATATTCGAGTAGTCTCTGAGATTTCTTCTAATACTGAGATTCTGTGATTTTTGAGATTTTCAAATAATGCAGGTCATTAGAAGATGAAATTTCGGGGGGGTGGAGAGAGGTAGAGATGAGTTTGGACAGAAGATACGTGTGTGTGTGTGTGTGTGTGTGTGTGTCTGTGTGTATTTTCAATATAATGAAAAAGCCACTTTGGAATTTTCCAGTTTCAAATAAACTTGAAAATATAAACAGGATAATATAGGTTTTCTGTTTCATTATCTCTCAAAATATTCACTTAGGCATTAACCAACAATGAATTTTGCTTTTTTTTTTTTTAAACAAAATTTTCCATGATATTTGGGAAACTAATTAGAACACTTCTTAAAATTCATAATAGGCTATTAGCATTTTAATGCTAAGTGTGGGTCTGCACATGCCTGGAATATTTCAGATAAAGCAACAAGGCCTTAACTTATTTCCACTCTCCTTTGTTTCTCATGTAGCATGATTTAAGTTCAACCAAAGTTCAAGTTTCTGCAGTTTCTCAAACGTTTTTGAAAGTAGCTTCAAAATTTTAGATTCTCCTTCCTTAGGGAAGAATGATTGCCAACAAACTTTATCAACATGGCTCATTGTAATGGATAATTATTAGAGTGGCATGCAAATTTTTTTTAAAAAAGAGGGAATTATAATGAAATGAAAAGTCAGAATTGGAGGGATTAAAAGAAAAGGAATCCTATGAGTTAAAAAAGAGATTTACCTCGCTGAAAGTTTCCAACTTAGATTTGCTCTGCGCTTGAAAGTGTATTTCTAAAGTAATTGTGTGTGGGTGGTTGGGTACTAAGTGGCTGGGGAGTCTCCTGTTTCTCCTAGAACACTTGGAGGACCTTCTTGCTGAATGATCACCTTACCAATAGTCATTGCTGATCCCAAACATGTGACATAGTCTGTTTTTCAGAGCAGGGTGTTTTTGGGAAGCAATCCTTCTGCCTTGCCTCTGGATTGGCTTTGTGATACTGGGCAAGTCCTATAACCTTTTAATGCACTGGGAAGCTCTTAAGATTATACGTTGTACCAGGAGAACATTGTATACAGTAACTGCAATACTGTATGATGACCAACTGTGAATGATTTAACTATTCTCGAAAGTATCGTCTTCCAAGACAGTAGAACTTATGATGAAAAAATGTTATCCATTTCTGGAGAAAGAACTGATGGAGTCTGAATATAGATCGAAGCATACTATTATATTACTTTTTTATTTTTCTTGTGATTTTTTTTGTCTGCTTTCTTTCATAACATGACTAACATGGACATGTGTTTTGCATGACTGCATATGTGTAACCTATATCAAATTGCTTGCCTTCTTATTTAAGGGGGAGGGAGAAAATTTAGAACTCAAATATTAAAAAGTGAATGTTAAAAATTGCTTTTACATGTAATTTGGGGGAAAATAAAATATTAAGTTAAAAAGCTATTCCCCCCCCCCCCCAAAAAAAAACAGACTATAGGTTGTAGAGAAGGCTCCATCTTGCATTGGTAGAAGGAATTGCATGATTTGGAAGTGTGCCTTATGTCAGTGAAATCACAAACCCATTCTAGCTCACCTATTCTTTACTGAATCTTCTGGTCATGCTTCATAGATTCAAAGGAGACACCTTGATGTGGCCAGAACCTCTCTAAGAAGTACCCTAGTAACTTATTAAAGTTAAACTGTTTACATTCCTATATAGAAAGATATAATTCATAAGACCTTTCTCAGTATTAAAGTAGTTGGAGGGAATATATATGTATGTGTATATATATACATATATATATATATATATATATATATATATATATATATAGACAGAGGGCACAGGGTGAGTTGAAGATGAAGGGACAGTATCTAAAAAAATCAAATTAAGGGGTGAAAGGGGATTGTACTAGGAGAAGGAGAATGGGAGAGGTAGAATGGGGTAGATTATCTCACATAAAAGAGGGAAGAAAAAGCTTTTACCGTGGAGGGGAAGAGAGGAGAGGTGAAAGGGAATGAATGAATCTTACTGTCATCAGATTTGGCTTAAAGAGGGAATAATATACACACTCAATTGGGTATGGAAATCAATCTTATTTTCCCTACAGGAAAATAGGGAGGAAGGAGATAAGAAAGGGGGATATGATAGAAGGGAGGGGGTAATCAGAAGCAAACACTTTTGAGGAGGACAGGGTCAAAGGAGAGAATAGAATAAATGGGGGTGGGATAGGATGAAGGGAAATATAGTTAGTTTTTCACAACATGGCTATTATAGAAGTGTTTTGCATGACTGCACATGTATAACCTGTATCAAGTTTCTTGCCTTCTCAATGAGGGTGGGTGGGCAGGGAGGAAGGGAGAGAATTTGGAACCCAGTGTTTTAAAAACAAATGTTAAAAATTGTTTTTACATGCAACTGGGAAATAAGATACACGGGCAATGGGGTGTAGAAATCTATCCTGCCCTATAGGAAAATAGAATGGTCAGGGGATAAGGGGAGTAGAGGGGAAGGTAATAGAAGGAAGGGCAGATTAGGGGAAAGGGTATTCAGAATGCAAGCCGTCTTGGAGTCGGGGGAGGGGCGATTTGGGGAGAAAAATTGGAACTCAAAATCTTGTGGAAGTGAATGTTGAAAACTAAATATAAATAAATTAACTAAAAGAAAAAAAAAGAGGTACCCTAGTAGCTACTCGGTTGAACTTTGAGATTTTTGCTGGTTTCTTTTTATTTGATTCCGTGGTTTCAGGTATATAAGTACCTAATAAGCACCTTTCACACTTGGTTTCTATCCAATGAAACAGGGAAAGAATTCTTTAGTAACAAATTCCATTATGCCCACACGTAATCTCGGCAAGAAATACTTTTGGTTGGTATGAACAACAATTTTGCTTTAACCCCATTGATCCTTAAGATAGAATTTTCTTTTCCACCGTCCAAGTTGTATAATTGCCTAAATAGGAAATGAATTGAAAGCTGTAAATTGAAATTACATTGATCGTTTTTGTAGTGTGTTCTTGTTATTTCTAGTGCAGGTTTAATGTCCAGTGTGACATTTTACCATTTGCGTGCTATATTGCCTTATTGTATAATATATGTCTTACTAATTACAGAAGGCAGTTTTATTAGCATCAAAGGCCCAATTGTTAAGGTCTATAATTTATAGGATTTCTCAAAAGTTAAACTCTATGTCATCATTTCTCCCCACCAGAATATATTGCCATGTACACTTATGAGAGTTCTGAACAAGGCGATTTAACCTTTCAGCAAGGGGATGTGATTTTGGTTACGAAGAAAGATGGTGATTGGTGGACAGGAACAGTAGCTGACAAATCTGGAGTCTTCCCTTCTAACTATGTGAGGCTTAAAGACTCAGAGGTAAATCCTTATTAACTTACTTTTTAGATACTTTCCATTCTTCCTGTATAGTCACTTTTAGGATTTGAAGGTGGAATCAATTATATGAAATCTTTTTCAAGAAAGTTACTAAGTTTTAGAGCAAGAAAATGAAGATAGTGCTATGTATGATTGTTTGAGCTTATTATCTGATGTATCATTGATTCCTTGATTTCCTTAAAGGTTTTAGTAATAAGGCAAATACACTGTCTGAATTAGGCCATCCCTTACATAAAAAGAGGGCAGTTAGAGGGTGTAGTAAATAGAATGCAGGCCTGGAGTTAGCAAGACTAATCTTCCTGTGTTCAAATCCAGCTTCAGACACTTACTGTGTGACCCACAGCAAGTCACTTAACCCTGTTTGCCTCAATTTCCTCATTTGTAAAATGAGCTGTAGAAATGGCAACTCATTCCACTATCCTTTCCAAGAAAACCCCAAATGGGATCACAGAGAGTTGAACGTGGCTGAAATGACTCAACAATACTCAAAAATTATATTCATTTTTCTTCATGATATGGAGTACATGAAGATAAATTGTAATAACACCTAATATGTCCTATTACAAAGCATTACACATGAAAGTTTTAATCTTCCTAATGATTTTGTTGAAGCCCTAGGAATATTTGCCTCTCGTTATTTTGACAATGTAGACTAGAGGTGTCAAACTCAAATAGAAACTAGGGACCATTACACCACTAAACCATAACCCATAGGCACATATTGACTTAGAAAACCACATATTAACATTACCTGTGTTTGATTGCATTTTTATTCATTTTAAATGTTTCTTAATTACATTTTAATATAGTTCTACAGTACTTGGGAATATTACAGGTTGCATATTTGACATCTCTGATATAGACCATTCACCTCTGTTTAGAGATTGCTCAAAATAAATAAACAGAAATAAAAAAATTAAAAGAAAATAAAAATAAAATAAAATTGTTTAAACTTGTTTAAGTCTGTCAGGTTGTGGAAGGTCTCTCACTGATCACAATAGGGAGATGTAAAATGTATGACTCTATATACATTTGACCAGACCCATGCATCCTCCTTAATAATCTACTAAATTGGTTTAAATGCTGTTCATTTTTTGTTTTTAAAATAGAAAGCAACTTTTCAGGAAGTATGAATTTGCTTATTAAGGTAATTCACTGCAGATAAACAGAATACTCAGGAGTTTCCTTTTTCACTGGCCATCAATTCCATCATACATTCCATTACAGTTGTTTAACCTTGCCCTCTCACCTCCTGCTTCCGCAACCAATGGGCAGGAAGAGGCCTTTAGACAGATTTGGAAAGCTGAAGCCATCTGTGACACTGCGAGGATGGAGAAGAATATCTTGATCTTCCCGGAGCCTATAGTGTGTTTGAAAACAAGTCAGGGAAAGGCTCTAGATGTGTACAGCACTATGACAGCTCAGCTCCCTTCTGACATTTAAATGTAGGAACTATTTGACAGCAATGTTATAATGATAATCAATAAACATTATAGCACCTACTCTCTGCCAGGTTATACCCCCCACAATTCCAAAGGCTTCATGACAATTGCTATCCACCTCCAGAGAGCGAACTGCTGAACTCTGAGTGCAGATTGAGGCTTTTTTTTCCACTTTATTTTTCTTGATTTATTATAATAATAATAATTATTATTATTATTGTAGCATGACTAATATGGAAATATGTTTTGCATGACTTTACAGGTATAATGGGTATCATTTCTTGCTGTTTCAGTGGGTGGGGGAGGGGCTAGAGGGAGGTAGAGAATTTGGAATTTGGAACTGAAAATTAAAAAAAAAAAAAAAAAGAGTAGGTACTGTTGTACCCTCCAGAAATGACAAGGGAGAATTCAACTCTTCCTCAATCAGATGAGTTAGATTCAATAAAAATTGTATAAATGTTGTTTCAATGAAAAGACACTAGAAACTACATTCTTAAGGTTATTGGTGTATAATGGCAAAATTAAGTATTTTTTGCAAGTTTATAAAGCAAAACTACACCTGCAAGTCCAAAATTGGTACAGGGTTTTGCCTTGTGACCTTGCTCTTTCTGCAGGTTGAGGTAAAAGCAGCGAGTAGCATATAGTTTATTGCAGCATCTCCAAGACATTCTTTAGGTGCTATCAGGACATGTAATAATAACTGGCATTTAAAGCACTTTATCTGCATCACATTCCTCTGAATAACCTGGTACTCTCTACTCACTTGTAGTATTCTTCTTCCTAATCAAAGTTCTTCTTCATCCTCTTTCCTCTAGAGATCACTTTTTAACCTTGCTTGTACAGTGATTGTCCGTTGGTATTTTTACTGAATGTGCTGCTCGCTTGGTGAAGACATAGCTAGTCTACAAGATACTTAATGGTTTCTGCCTTGGTTAGAAACCTTTATTCTATTTTAGTTGTTCTTGGAGCTAATGATGATCCTTTTTTTGATGACTTGGAATTTTGCTTCTCAGTGCTTAAGTACATTGTTATTTATAAAATCAAGGCTATTGGTGTGCCTATAAATTGTTTGTTAACAAAATGTTAACAAAGACATAGTAAAATTTTAGACCCAAGGCACTTCATGAATGTTTGATGAAATAATAAAGTTTAGTCATTCAAAATAATGGACACAAAACACTGAAAGCACAATAAGGAGTTTCAACGCTTGCCAAAAAGATACATACTTCATTTCTTTTTCTTTCCCATCTTTTATCTTAATTGGGTTATCAAAGGACTTCTGAATTACACTTCTTTTTGTCATGTTAAATTGATTTTGAGGCGTGGCTTCAAGAGGGACAATAATGCAAAAGAAACTAATTTCTATTAGTGAACACTAGCTTTTGTCTCTCTAGCTATCCACAGAATAGAAAAAAATTTGGACACAGTCTTTTTTCCACTATATGAGAATAGACTTTGTCTTTTTTCCTCATACTATAGCTTGCATAAAAATACTGTGTTTAGATCCACAGGGGTGGGGAACCTGCGGCCTTGAGACCACATGTGTCCCTCAAGGTCCTCAAGTGTGGCCTGTCGTTTGGAAAGGACTGCATTTGAGGGCATAGAGGGCCACATGTGGTCTTGAGGCTGCAGGTTCCCCACTCTTGAAACTATTGTAAAATGATAATATTCTCAAAGATAATATATCCACAGCTCAGTCTCCAGGGCCAAGATTTCTTCTCTCACCATACATTTAATAACTTGAATCCCAGCATAACTTCATGGAGTCACAAAACTTATGCTGTGTCTTCTCTGGGACAAAGTGTTAAAAATCTGTCAAAAATTAATGGTTCTTTAGGGTTTTATTTTCTTTCACATTGGTAGAGAGACTTTCCTCCTTTTGCCAATGAAATCATTGGTTTAGTCTCTCCTCACTACCTTCTCCCACCCCCCTGTGAAAAAATATTGGGGTGAAGATGATACTGTATGAGAGTTTATGTAAAATTTGTCTTTCATTCTGTTTTAGGCCCCTGGGACTACTGGGAAAACAGGGAGTTTAGGAAAGAAACCTGGTAAGTTGTAATTCCTAGTATTTATTCTGAAATATTTTAAATGTAAATGATAATTGATCCCAGTCGTGTTAATTAAGGCCAAATGCTTAGGACAAGAACAAAGGAGACTTTTCCTGAGACATCTCCTTATCCATCTCTGTTTTCTAGGGATATATAAGAATTGCTTATGTAGTTGAGAAAGGTTGGTATTATGCCATAAGCACCTCATGAAAAGGAAAAATGTAAAATGGTAGTAGGTATAAAAGAATATGAAATAATTTAGCTCTCCTGTGATAGTAAGGAAATGGATGACTTCAGAGTGATGAAGAGGGTATTATGGGGCTACCAGATTGCTGGTGCTTGGCAGTTTCACAGGCATATGCATTTCTTGGGAGGATGTTGCAGCCGTGATTATGCTCATCCAACAGTTAATACATACAACAGAAGACAGTAGCAGAGCGTAAGTGTCATAAGGCTGGGTTGTAAACAAGAACAGATTCATTTCAGAGGCATCAGGTGATTTCTCTCACATCCATTGAAGGTACAAAATTACAGTAATTTCTCTGTCTTTACATGGTTTTTAGTTTCTGTGAATCATACTTTTGGAAGTAAAAATATTACTGATAATTCTTGAGAGAGAACAAGTACACCACTGTATATAAAGGGATTTTTACAACATACGTGTTTATTTTACCTGACATATTTTGATGTTCCATTGAATGATTATTGGAAGAAAGATTATTCGTTGCTGGGAGAGAGAGTATTTTCTCTGAGGCCTACAGATCTTACACAGCAAGGAAAAATAGATAACCAGTCGCCATGGGTTTTCACTTGAGCTCCAGAAATTTGGCTCAGGGCATTGAGAGCAAATAAGCTTTATCTCAAAATTCAGGCCTGCTGAGAATAATTGAATGATTCTAGAGTGTCTGAGCGCCTTTATATTTGATGCCCAGATGAGTTTAAGCTTTCACTGAAACCCTCCTTGCGTTAGTGAGCTGGGTGTAGCTTGTCTGCGTCTTGAGAAAACAAAGAAAGAAGCAAAGTTGGTGGCAGATTGCTTCCTGCATGTGCCAACTTCATTTAAGAAAGAGAACATTGGAAGCCAAATAGGTCACCACTTTGGATTTTGTCCATCCTAAACAACTCTTTTAATCTAGAGGTTTTCACCAGTTTTCCTGGTGAGAGCTTTGAAACTCATTATTGCTTACTCTCTAAGTACCAAGCAGAATCATCTATGCTTTTATTTAGTTTTACAATGGTGTGAGCATTTCCATGAGGGCAGTTTAACCTGTAAATGTAAAATGGGAAATGATGGAAGGTATGATAATTCCTCCTTGGTTTGAGTAGGGAAGGAGGAAATTCTACCATGGGCTAGGGCATTTTTCTGGTAGAATTCAGTCCAAAGGGGATAGGAGAATAGACAAGTTTGTTATATATCTCTTCTGGAGGCTCAGAGAATGATTATAGATGTGCCAGTGTTCACTGAAAGGAAGATTTTGTTTTTTATTCTCTGAACCTGCTATGCCAATAGAGATTGATTTTCAGAACTGTTCTGTAATACTCTTGGAATTTTTCCTTTGAGATTTTAACGTTCAGAAGTATAGAACCATTTCCCTTTCATATGTGTGTGCTAAATTGATAACTGCACATAAAAAGCCTTTTCTAACTTTTGGATTCTTCCCACCAGAGACTGTTTATACCTTCACAGACTACAAATTGATTAGTGAAAAAATGTTTTTCCTGAAGAAAAAGATCATAATGGTAGTAGCAAGGGTACTGAAAATTTAGATTTTAAGATCAGCTTTTAGAAATTGAGTTGGTTTTTAGCTCTTCTGAGCAATGCAATGATCTAAGACAATTCCAAAATACTCATGACAGAAAATGCTATCCACATCTAGAGAAAGAACTATGGAGTCTGAATGCAGATAAAAGCATACTATTTTCTCTTTTTTGTTGTTGTTTTTTGTTTTTTCTTTCTCGTGGTTTTTCCCTTTTTTCTTCTGATTCTTCTTTCACAATATGACTAATGTGGAAATATGTTTACTATGATCATACATGTATAGCCTGTGTCAGATTGTATGCTGTCTTGGGGAGGTGGAGTGGAGGGAGGGGAGAATTTAGAACTCAAAATCTTACAAAAGCAAATGTTGAAAACTAGAAATAAACTTTAGAAAAAGATAAATGTACTCTATGGAAAAGAGAAAACAGAATCTTGTGAAAAGAAAAAAAAGAGTGGGAAGGAGATAGAGTAGATTTCTGTTAATTTTTCAAAAAAATAAAAAAAAAAACCAGTGGGAAGAATGGCTATGGAATGTTGCATGCCCTTTTAGATGAGGACATAGTAGTATTAGTTTTGTTTTATTGTTTTACTTTATTAGGAGACTCTCACAGAGTGAGGGTAATCTGTAAATGTTTTGAAAATAAAAACAATACATGTCAATAAAGCTTAGTAAAAAAAAAAGAAATTGAGTCAATTTGTAAGAAAAATACAATTTCTCTCTCTTCCTAGACTATAAAAGAATGAAAAACCTTACGTATTTTATGTGAGTTGTATAAAATCATAGAATCCTAGGACTATGACAGGACCTTAGGAAGTGAGGTGAATTTCTCTACCTAGCTAGCACATGAGGGGATAATGACCAAGGAACTTTTCTAATTGCTTTGGTGTTAAACCAACCTAATTTTTGATGCTAGCTGTGGACAAGGGAAAGGTGGTGCTAGATTTACTCTAGTGAGTCACTCATTTTTGTTTTGATTTTCAGAAATTGCCCAAGTTATCGCATCTTATACTGCTACTGGCCCAGAACAGCTTACCCTGGCACCCGGACAACTAATTTTGATCCGGAAGAAGAATCCAGGAGGATGGTGGGAAGGAGAACTTCAAGTTAGTTCCTGTGTAATTTGTGTAAAACATCATGTTCTAATTCTAACACATAAAATGCCGAAAAGAGAACACTTGGTAGTGTTATATACTTGGTAGTATATGTTCTCCTTCAAATGCCCATACATTTTAAAGATGGAACTTTTGACCTCCAAGATGGGAAGCCACCTTTCCATACGTTCCAGAGTCAAATTACCCTGTCATCTGAGCAGCTTGTATGCTTCTTTCCTCCTAATCCAGAAAGATTCAGGACTGACCCAGGCAGAAATATGAAGTCAGCAAAGTTTGTCTTTGGAGGCATACTCCTATGCATTTCCTTCCTCCTTTTTGTGGTGGAGTGGAACGATTACTCAATTTGGAATCCAAACACGTTAGATTAAATAGCCTTAGCTCTACCACTTTTTAGCTGTGTAAGGTTGGATGAGTCACTTTAACCTCAGTTTCTTTTTCTTTAAAATGGGGACAGTACTTCTTCATAGTGCAACTTTGAATTAAAATAATGAAAATGAAATAAATTTAATATGAAAAATGAAACAAATGAAATGTGAAAAAATTAAATAATTACTGTGTATAAATACTGTGTAATCCTTAAAGCACATAGAAATGTTAGCTATCTTTATGATTATTATTACTACTACTACTTTTTCCTCTCATGCTCCTCCTAAGTTGTCCCGTTTTGCTTTAAAACACAGACACACACACACACACACACACTCTCTCTCACACACACACATACACACACACAATTTCCATCTCTTTTTTTTAATGTGTCACTCACCAAAACAAAAAGACAAATTCAATTCAACACATATTTATCCAGTATCTACTACATATAAGTGCAGATCAGAATATAAAAGATGAACATGACGAGGTCCATGCCCTTATGGAACATTCAGTCTAGAATGATAAAAATAAAACATGTATAAAAACAACTTTCTTACAAAGGAGAGTATGAAAGTGTGAAAGGGGTGCAAATATAACATAAATTGTTAAGAAGACGACCAGTGCCAGCCTTGTTTGATTAGTGTTCATATTCTAGTCACATAGTATAGGAAATTACTTTGATGAGAGAGATTTAATGGTTACAGAACGAAGTAGGGGATACAGAATGGGTATCAACCACCATTACTTCCTGGAGTGAATGTTGTCACCGCAGCTACTGAACTATCACCCTGAACATTCCTGGATCATCCCAGACCTGTGATTCCTGATTATGTTACTGGGAAAGTAAAATGGAGCTCCAAGTGATTCAAAACCTCTCTCGTAGGTAGAAATTTTAATACTCCAAAGGAAGGTTGTATGGAAAAGTACTTATAGTAAACTCATGACCCTGACTGGGGATTTTATCAGTGCCTCCCATTGTGATATTGAGTATGGCCTTGTGAAATATCCCTGGAGAAAGTAGGTCCTGATCATAGGTGTTATCTGTTTGCTGTATCTCTGAGGGGAGGCAGGAGCTAGGGGAAGCTGATATCTGGGGAAGAAATAAGTAAAAGAAACAAAACTTAAAATGAACCTTATCTCTGGGAGTTAGTGAGACTGGAGGAGGGTTGAAAGGGATGTTATTGGCAGCCTAGGATGAAGGGAATGTGCCTTTCACACCAGTAGCTTATGGAATAAGCACAGGACTTAAGCCTTTTGAGTCAACTCACAAGCCAATAATCTACTTATGTTTTCTGCCTTTTGTATCTTACACCTGCCTCCATCAGTCAACAAAGATTTCTTTTACATGTTTGTGCCTGGGAATCTGCTAGGTGTTAGGGAGACAAAGATGAGAATGAACAGTCTTTGCTCCCCTAACAGGGAGACAGTGTGCGTGTGTGTGTGTGTGTGTGTGTGTGTGTGTGTGTGTGCACGCACGTGTATAAGCATTTATAAAATATGTGCAAGGTAAAATATTATTTGGGCGGAAGGGGATGGCACCTACAGCTGGGATAATTAGGAATGGTTTAACATAAAAAAAATGCTGAAAAAATCCTTAGCTTAAGGATATATAAACCTGCATTTTCTGTTGATAGTATTCAGGAGGCAACTGGGATAGTTCAGTCATTGTGGCCTTGTAGTCTAAGCCAAAAATGATCCATCATCCCAATTATGCTTTTGGTAGTTGTTCCTAGTGGTACAAAGAATTGGGCTTTGTGGTTGAGGGTTGAGTAATCCTAATGGAACTAGTATGATACACCTAAATAAAGGCTATTCTTTCTCTAGCCTAAAGAAGACAAGAAAGGAGAGGGGAAAAAAAGAAAGATAATTATGGAATTTTTTAGAGTTATTCAAAATTGTAAGAATTTTAGAGTTATTGGTAGGGTTACATTTCTTCTGTCCTCAGGGGTGTGCCAATGTTTAGCACCTGGCTAGACACACTTTTAAGTTTAATCTGAATTATTAGCATCATGGAATACATTAATCTGAAAGCAGATAGGAAAACTTAAAACTATTAAATCAATAAATGGGATGTTCCAACCATCGACACCCATGAAGTGGGATATATACAACCTTTGCTGTATAAGTTATCAAAAAAATCTAAACATTAGCCAATTTGCATTCATATTTCTACAAAACAAATCACAAAATTCAGTCTACAATGCAAGCAGTTTGTTCTAGATTATAAACTCACCATTTTTCAGTTTTATTGCTAAAGTCATTTATTCTAATTACTGTGTATTATCACGTCTTATGCCAGCTATTCTCTGTTCTCCATATTACCCAGAAATCTCTCTCTCTCTCTCTCTCTTTCTCTCTCTATGTGTCTCTCTCTCTCTCTCACACACACACACACATACACACACACACACGCACACACGCACACACACAGTCTTCAAAGCCAGGCTTCTGCAACTTAACTTACCTTAAGGTCACAGAAAAGGGAAGGCCACTTTCCTGAACTATCAGAAGGGGAGATCTGTACAACAGCAGGAGGCATCTGCTCTTATTGCCAGACAGTCTGTTCTAGCAGACCTGAACTGTGAAACATCTGCCTACTTCTTCTGGTCCAACTAGATTATATTGCTTCTGGTCATGTAACCTCCAGCTAGGCCCAAAGCTGTATCTCACTTCTACTTCTAAGGATGATAAAACTTCCTCTTGAAAGATCTGCCAATGAGTAAATCAGTTTGGAATGAGTAGTATCTGGCTGCTACATACAAACCTCTACTATGAGTTCATGTGACTCATTGGGGACCATAGTATTTGCCCGAGAAGAAACTATCCCATTTTATAACAAATTATCTTCCTCCCACCCCGCAACATACCCCCTGACTCATTTAGGCATCATAGCCATATTGAATGGAGATAGGTAGGGAAGGGGCAGGATTTTTCTCCCTCTTACCCATACTGCTAAGGGGAATCAGTATGTTGCCTAATATTAAGGAGGGCTAAAGACAACTTATCACCATATAGATTTTCTGGCTATATTGGCAGCTCCAGGTAGGTAGGTAGGTAGGTAGGTACCATGTCATTTATCTCTTTTCATTGACCACAGTGCCTAGTAGAGTGCTAGGCACATGCTAGATGCTCAATAAATACCTGTGGAATTGAATTGAATTTCAAGAAAGAAGGGATGACATTGGGAAAATGTGAATGTAATCAATGGAAATATTTAGGCTTAAAGAATTTTTGATTAAATTTAGAGGATTTGGAATAGGCATGTCCAAATGTGCTAACAGAGTATAGTGCTTTTATGCAATGCATGGGATTCCCCTCGAACCCCAGTTAATGTAGACCTGGGAAAGCTAGAATATAATCAGGAGGTTGAGTTGTTTAACTATAAAAATACATCTAAGCCAAGGTTTTAATATGCATGAGTAAAGTGAGAATGCCTCTCTGATTGTTCAAGAGGAGAACAGTCTATTGATAGATCAGGTGAACTGGCCACACCTCCAGGGGCTTTAAGTAGCAGAGCCCTGGATGAATTTCAGTATTTTGAGTTGGAGAGTACTAAGACATTTGCAAACCAGGTGCTACTTGTGGAGAAGACCCTTACAGGAGAAGAAATTTCTCTTCTCCCCTCTCCCATTGACCAAATTGCTTTGAAGAGGAGCTACTAGACTAGAAGGAGATACAGCATTCAGTGGGGAACAGAAGACACATATGTTCCAGACTGTCAGATTCAGAGTGATAGTCACCAGAGTGAGGCAGCAGTTTCAAAAAAGCTTGACTCAGGACAGTGAGGTGGCACAGTGGATAGAGCACCGGCACTGGATTCAGGAGGACCTGAGTTCAAATTTGACTTTAGGCACTTGACACTTACTAGCTGTGTGACCCTGGGCAAGTCACTTAACCCCATTGCCTAGCCCAAAAAAAAAAAAAAAAAGCATGACTTATAGCAATAGAGAGTTAGAGTGTAGAGAGAAGCTGAACCTAGGAACCTAGTGTTAAAACCCTATGAAGAATAAAAGAACTTCTAAAACCAGGTGCCAGAGGTTGTGATTTGCCTTTATCCCACATGTATTCTACACATTTCACTGCCATTATACCCTAAATTTGAGCCCAGTCTTCCCATGAATGCTGTGCATATTTGTGGGAGAGTTTATCCTAAGTTTATGAGGGGGAATGTTTTGTAGTTTTCTTACTACTTCATAAATAGTGCTCATACTATGTCCTCGTCAGTAAATGCCTTTCCCAAGAGGCAATTATATACTGGCTGATTATTAAAGGAAAGAACACTAGTGGGGGCTCATGAGTTTAGTATTTATCTAAGAATATAGTCCCATATACTTTCCTCCTAGAAACTGAGGTAGCAGCTACCTTTGATCTTGGGATCCATCCTATGAATACAAGTGCAAATTGCAAGAATCTCAGAGAGATGCTTATATACAGAGAGATTTGCAACATGTAACAAACATGTCATGCTTAGAATATTTTTTTAATGGGCTTGTGATTTCATTGATGTCGACAACTTCTGGTGAGGAAATTCCTTCAACCAAAGCAAACTAGCAATTTCTTTGGAATATACAATCTTAGAGAGCTGCCTGAGGCAGTTTAAAAGTAGCCTTAATGTTCTCTAAGCAGAGGCAACATGGTGCACTGGATAGTGAACAAAGCCTTGGACACATACTGCCTGTGTGTCCTGGGCAAGTCAGTTAACATCTAGGCGCTCCAGGCAGCTCTCTAAGATTGTATATTCCAAAGAAACTGCTTGTCTGCTTTGTTTGAGGGGATTTCCTCCTCAGGAATTCTTAATGTCAATAAAATCACAGGCCCATTAAAAAAATATTCCAAGCATGATATGTTCATATAGCAAATTTCTCTGTACATAAATATTTCTTGGGGATTCTTCCGTTTTTGCACTTGTATTCATGGGATGGATCCCAAGTGATTAGCCACTCAATTATCTGAAACAAATAACTTAGGGAACAAAATGACCGTAATAATAGCAGTGTATACTTAGAACACATTTGAAGGTTTACAAAGCATTTTCCTTATAACAATCTGATAAGGTAGGTAGTGTAAGTGGTATTATCTTCATTGATGTTAAGTGATTTTCCCAAGGTTATAAAGTTAGTAAGAGGCTAGACAGTATTTTAAACCAAGGTCTTCTTGACATGAGGTTCAGTGCTCTTTCCAGTAGAAACATTCAATTAACAAGCAAACTTAATTAAAGTGCTTATTATGTACTATGTACTGTGCTAAGTACTAGGGATACAAAGAAAGACAAAAACAGTATACCACACTAATTTGAGAAAAGGCTTTTACTTCTTATTTTCAGCTACCCCAATAAGTTTCTGAATTCAAAATGGAAATTATTCACGTAATGGATTAAAATCATATCTAGATTAGCTACTTTGTAATTTAATCAGTGAAAGATTGCTCCAAATGACTAAAAATAAGAGTTCATATCAAAACAACCTTGAGGTTCCAACTTAGACCCCCAAGATTAGCAAAGGTGATAATATATGTTACTAGCCAATATCGGATAATCAGTGGGAAAGCAGGCACACTGATGGATTGTTGGTAAAACTGTGAAGTGGTTCAAACATTCTAGAAAGAAATTATGATCAGAAAGAGACTAAAATGTCAATATCCTTTGATTGAGAGGTCTTACTGCTAGCTTGTATCCCAGGGAACCCAGTGACAGAGAAAGGCCCCATATATACCAGAATATTTTTTCAGCACTTTTTGCAATAGGAAAGAACTGGAAACAAAAGAGATGCCTATAAATTTGGTAATGATTAAACAAATTGTGAAATATGAATATAATGGCATAAACTCTACTATAGGAAATGATGAATATGATGAACACAGAGAAGAATGAGAAATATTCTACGAACTCATATAAAATGAAGTAAGCCAGACCAGGAAAACAATATACACAATGACTATATATAAATGAAAACAACAACAAAGCTCAAAACTTGAATACTTTGTAATTATCATAATGAAGCTTAGTGCTGAAGAAGGGGTGAGAAAATGCTTCTTTCTCTCTTTGTTCAGATATGGTCTATGGGATTGGAAAATTATATGCAATCCTAACTCAGCTAATATGTTGCTTAACTTTACTGAACTTTTCCTCCCCGCCCCTCCTCCCCACCTACTGGCTTCTTGCTTATTCTTTGTTACATAAGATAGTTTTGAGTGGTAGAGGAGGGAAGAATATATTTGGAAAAGAAGATGATAAAAAATCAAAAGATATAAAATTTTTTTTCTTTTTTCTTTTTTTTCTTTTTTGGCTAGGCAGTGGGGTTAAGTGACTTGCCCAGGGTCACACAGCTAGTAAGTGTTATGTGTCTGAGACTGGATTTGAACACAGGTCCTCCTTACTCCAGGGCCAGTGCTCTATCCACTGCACCGGCTAGCTGCCTCCCAAATTTTTTTTTAAAGAAATGTAATGTCCAGAGCAAGAGAAAAGTTAGTCTTTTTGATCTCTGCCCTGGCCAAACCACATCTAGGGCACTGTGTCCATTTCTGAACACCACATTTTAGAAAAAAAATGAACAAAACTGGAAGGTGAATAAGATAGTGAGAAGATGTAAAATTATGCCATACAAAGATTGGTGGAGATAACCGGAAGTGTTTAACCTAGAGAAAAGAAATCTTAAGAACATATGTGATCACTGTCTTCAAATATTTAAAGGATTGATATATGGAAGCAGAACTAGGTTCATTCTTTTTTTTTTTTTTTTGGTACCAAGGATACAGATTTTGGTTCAACATAATTCCTAATAATAAGAGCTATCCAAAAATGAATTAGGCTCCTGAGTGGAGTAGTGAGAGTTCTTCATTCCTAGAAGTCTTCAGGGGGAGGGTGAATGTCTATTTATCAATCATGTTGTATATGGGACTCAAACTTTTGAGGTCTCTTCCAACACTGGGATTTTATGATTATTGTCTTGTGTAATTTTACTGGTTATTCAAAATCTGAAACTTTTAAAATGTATTTATTTTCTTCTTAGGCACGTGGGAAAAAGCGTCAGATAGGCTGGTTCCCAGCTAATTATGTAAAACTTTTAAGTCCTGGTACCAGTAAAATAACACCAACGGAGCCACCTAAGTCCATAGCACTACCTACAGGTAAGTGACTTAGACTCTTCAATTGAAAAATAGTTTTATCTCAAAGTTGGTTTTTCCGTTTAGAGTCTTCATAGTCAAGGCTTTCTCTTCCTGTATCGAAGCATTCTCTCAGCATTTTCAATAGCTCTTGGAACTGAGAAGTTTTACTGTGTTTAGTACCATAGTACACAGGCAGCAAGGTGGTGCAGTGGATAGAGTGCCAAGCCTGGAGTCAGGCAGACTCATGTTCCTGAGTTCAATTCCGACCTTAGACACTTAGTAGCTGTGTGACCCTGGGAAAGTTGCTTAACCCTGTTTGCCTCAGTTTCCTCATCTGTAAAATGAGCTAGAGAAGGAAATGGCAAACCACACCAGTATCTTTGCCAAGAAAAAACCCGAATGGGGTCATGAAGAGTCGGACATGACTGAAAAACAATTGAACAATAAGTACCATAGTGCCTTTGTTGGAATATTCTTGTAGAAAGAATCGTACATACTTTTTACATTAAAAGCAAGGTTATTTATTGATTTTCTTCTAAAGAATTGAATTGTGTTAGGAAGGCATGGGGGGAGATGGAATAAGGAGTAAGATGTAAGAGTTTTTAAAAAATAAGTGTTAGGAGAGGATGATCCAAGATAACAGCATGAAAGGAGAGAAGGGAATCAGGTTTTTTACTTTATACACCCTATAAAAACCACAAGAGAAACAACAAAGAAAAAAATATAACTAAAAATCCACACAAGAAAGCAAAATTAAAACAAATTTTTTTTAAATGAGCAAAGAATAAGAGCAACAACAATGATAGAATAGGTTGACAAATTCCCGTACTATGAATGCAGACCTTAGTGTATCCTAGAGAACTCAACCAGTAAATTATATTGGAACCACCATCATCACAGGCCAAACTTTTGCCCACACTCATCTGGATATAACATAGATCCTTAAAAACTTAAGAGTAACATTTTAAATTGATGTCTTAATGCCAAATGATCATAACCTCCAACTGCATGTAATGAAAAATTTTCAATATGTAGAGACCTTGCAGAAGAGATCCAAATCGTGTGGAACAGGATGAGTTATATGCCATTGCTGTTGTCTTATTTGCTATTGGAGTCATTCTGAGAATGGTTTCTATGAGCCTACAGAGGATGAGCTTATTTCATAATATTTTTATTTGACTACAGAAAGCACTTATTTTGTGTACCTGTACAGTAATCTTTGGAATGCCTTAATGCTAGCATTTTCCTTCTATTGATTATCTCCTATTTATTCTGTGTCACTTGCTTGTACATAGTTGTTTGCATGTTGTTCCATTATAACGTGAGCTCCTTGAGAGCAGGACTATCTTTTTGCCTTTGCTTTCTATCTTCTCTGTAGGATATAAAGTGCCTCACACAAAGTAGGTGCTTAATAAATAAATAAATGAATAAATAAATAAATAACACATTCAATATAAAAGAATAATAGCAGGGAAGAGACTTGTCCTAGGACTGTTTCTGTCTAAACTTCATTAAAAGAGATGAGATGTTAATTAATGATAATAGTAAAAAGAGTAACAAATATTAGAGCAATTGAATTTGCTATACAAATGAAAAATAATAACAAAATTATAATATATTAATAATAAAAATAATAAATACTCAGAGCAATTGAATTTGCTGAAGTAGCAGAAGCTACGGAAAGAAAAATAAATATAAAGAAAACATATGGGATATGCAGAGAGACTCTCAAATATAGACCATACATTCAAAGAATTGACACTGGTAAGAAAAGTTTATCACAAGAGTAAATAAAAGAAGAACTTAAAGAAAAAAAGTCATGGGAGGAAATCAAGCTAGAATTAGAAAATGCTAAAAAGAAAAACCACACACTTCATGGAAGTAACGAAAAATAAATATAGTTGCCTTAGTTGCCTAGAACAGAGATTTCAAACTCAGCTTCCAGGCAGCCCACAAAAATTCCAAATGAAGCCAGAACCAGATTAAAATATAATTGGGGAATGTTTAACAAAACAAATAAAAATACAATAAAACACAGATCATGTTAATTTGTGGTTTTCTAAGTCACTATGAGGCCTATCTGTTTCTGTTTGCATTGGACCCCACTAAGAGTCAGGGGACTTGTCCTTTGTCACACAACCATTATATGTCAGAACTGGTCTTGAACTCAGGATTTCCTGGCTTCAAGGCAAACTCTATGCTATGCTTCCCCTTATACAGAGGATACAGTAAAGAGAACATAAAAGAGGAATTTCTAAAAATCTAATGAAGCAACTGATAGCAGATTTACTATATTGAAAAATAGTATTGCATGACTGGTTGGATATATGTGTTAATAACGACTAAATTATCAAAATTATTAGAAAATACATAGATTCTGGATGCCCTTTACCAGCTGAAGAAGACAGACCCCAATGTGGCAGTCTCAGGATTTCTGAGATCTCAGAAAATTTAGTAAAGCAATACCATTGAATTTAGAATCAAAACACCTGAGTTAAAATCTATTGTATAACCTTGGACAGGTCATTTTAATTCAGTGAGGCAGCTCTTGGTGCAATGGATAGAGTACTAGGCCTGAAATCAGGAAGACCTGAGCTCAAATGTGGCCTCTGATGATTCCTAGCTGTGTGATCCTGGGCGAGTCACTTAGTTTCTAGGTGCCTCAGTTTCCTTAACTTTAAAATGAGCATGATAGCAGCAGCTATCTCAGGATTGTTGTGAAGATCCAATGAGATAATTTTTTTATTATTAATTTATTTTGATTTATCAACAATCACTTCCATAAGCTTTTGAGTTTTAAATTTTTCTCCCACTCCCTCCCCAAGACAGCAAACAACCTGATATAGGCTATACATATACATTCCTATTAAATATATTTTCACATTAGTGATGTTGGAAGAAAGAATTAGAATCAACAGGAGGAACCACAAGAAAGAGGGAAGAAAACACAACAGAAGAGAAAAATTAGCAAGCAGTATGCTTCAATCTTCATTCATACTCCATAGTTCTTTCTGTGGGTGTGGATAGCATTTTCCATCATGAGGCCTTTGGAGATGTCTTAGATCCTTGCATTGCTGAGAAGGGCTAAGTCTATCAGTTAGTCATTGCACAACATGGCTGTTATTATGTACAACATTGTTCTGGTTCCTTATCTATAAAATAATGGGTTGGACTACACTCTTTTTTTATGATTCTTTGAACAGTTTTCCTAGGGAGCTGGAGAAAAAAAATCCTAGAATTAGCAAAAATATCCAACAAAAGACAAATAAATATGAAAACTGTAAGGAAGTATGAGATGAAATATCAAATATAACTTTGAAAAAGAAAACTGGTTAAAGATTTAGTCAGTACAATGCTCTGAGGGTTCTATTTTGTTAGGTTCTGGTTCATCTGGTGAATAAGAATGAGCACCACCAAGTCTCAAAATCCACTGTAAAACAATAATTAAGTAATAATTGTCTGGTAGTAGAAAAAGATTAGAAAAATAGATCAGTGTAACAGAATTAGAGCACAATGTATACAAAAAATTGTTTGATAGGCTCACACTTAAAAACCGGTAGAGAATGAAACTGCTGTGCAGGAAGGAATACTATGTGGCCAAAAAAATGGGTTTAGATCCGTATGTCCCACAATGTCCCACAATAAACTGTATCAGTGATCTAAAATTTTAAAGTTATTTAAAAATTGGAAGAAATGGGATAAAACATTTACTTTAACTTTAAGAGGAAGGCCATTTTAATGAAATAAATAGAAAAATTATTGATGGGTTTGAATATTTAGAGAGAAAAGGATTTTGCACAACAAAAGCAATGAAAGAAGAAATGAACTGGGAAAAGTCTTTGCAGAAAAAATAATCAAATAAATATTTCCGATAATAATTTGATATACAGATATTATAAGGAACTGCTACATGATATATGATACATTATAGGGCAGCAATGGTGAAAGGATATGAATAGACAATTTTTGAAGGAGGAAATATAAACTGTTAATAGTCCTGTGAAAAAAAGCACTCCATAATAATCAGAGAAGTACACATTAAGACAGCCTAAAGATAAAACCCGTTAAAATGACAAAAATAGCGAGTGAGTGAGAGAGGGAGAGAGAGAGAGAGAGAGAGATTGAGATTGAGAGAGACTGAGAAATTGGCATGGCTGCCAGGAAACATATACGTTGTTGGAGTGACTGTGTATCGATATAGGCATTTTGGAGATCTATATGGCAATATACAGTGTCATAAAAGTAATCATACCTTTATACCTGGTGGTCTTTTGCTAAGGCTTTATAAAATATCAGAAAATTTAAAAATAATGTAAATATAAAAAAATTCATAGCAGATACAACAAAAACATTTTACTTGCTTGTTTGTTGATTCCTTTGGTTCTATCCTGTTAAAAGCTTATGATTTTATGTAAACTTTTATTTTAATAGTGTTTTGGGGTAATTTTGAGGGGTTTGGTGGTTTTATATATGTTATATATGTATGTATAGTATATATACAAACACACACACATACACACACATATATATATATGTGTCAAGGATTTAAGTGGGTTGAGAGATTGAGTTGGGAAGCAATTATATGGGGTACTATTCATAAAGGTGAATATTGGCTCCAATCACTTAGAGTACATTGGAGACCAAAATGATCTCCTGTGGCACTTTGAATAGATGAGTCATTTTAATGCACAGCATGTAATATTGTACCCTCCTAAACAGCTACAAAGGAACGATCTATAATCTTACAGCTGAGCTATTAAGTGCCTTCAAACAGAAAAACATTTAGCTGAATATATTTATAGCATTTGAAGAAAGATGGGGATAGAAGAACAGAAATCTCCTTTAGATCATAATTCTTGGGTATCATTTGTGGTCATGTTTCCCTATTCCAGTAACTGTTTATCAAAAAAGTTTCTTCTCAGATCTTTGATTTCATTTAGATTGGCACAGAAGAGAACTCTGGGTGAGGAAACCTCCCTTTACCAATGTTCATTTGTACCTACTCTGTAATATTTTTGTTAGAGAGAGTTGTGTGGTTTGCCCAGGGTCACACAGCCACCATCTGGCTCTGGGGACCCACTTACCAGGTATTTACTGACCTAAATATGTCCAGAATTCCCTGCTGATTCCATCCTTGCTTCCCTGATGTTTAGAGTAAGAAGCCATGGCAGTTAATATTCTACCTCTCCCTTTGACACTGTCAATCTTAATCACTAGAACTCCAGAGGATGGGAGCCCAAGTTAATTTGTTCTTCTTCTAATTTATAAGACTGGCAAATTCCTGCCTCTGCAACCCTTATTCTTGTGATTCAGAATTGTCCTTTGCAGAGGTGAAAGTCTTTTTCTGTTATGTGGAATCATCATCCTGTTAGTTATATGGAAAAGCGTCTGGTCAAAAGGGCAGTCAGCGTATGGTGACTTGCATGGTCTTCAGACATCTAAAATGAGGACTCACCTTCTTTCCCCCTAAACGTTCCTCTCTTCCAGATTCACATATTTCAGGGGCATCCCTATCTTCTCAATTACCTAGCTTTGTAACCTCTGAATCATTCTTGACTCTTCCCTATCCCTCACTTCCAAATTAAATCAGTTGACAAGTCTAATTGTTTGTTTCTTTGCATTTTTCTCTTTTTCTCCACTAAGTTGACCACCACTATTTCAGGCCCTCAGCACCTCTTACCTGGACTAATATAATAGCTCTTCTTGCTTCCATTCTCTCTTCCCCCTAATCTGTCCTCCATTCAGCTGTGTTATACAATGCAAATCTAAATCTTGTCAGCCTCTTGCTAAAAAACCCTCTGTGGTTTCCCATTTCCTCTTAAATAAAATACAAATTTATCCTGTCATTTAAAGACCTCCACAATCTGGCTCTAAACTACCTTTCCAATTTTATCTCCCCTTCACAAACTCTGTGTTACAACCAAATTGGACTACTAGCTTTTCCCTGTATTTAACATTCCATTTCCTCCTTCCTTGCATTTCCACCAGCCACCCTCAGTGCCTGGAGTGCCCTGCCTCCTCATTCCTGCATCTCAGAATCATATCTTTCTTGAAGAATGAGGTCAACTCTAGCTACCACCTACTTAACAGTTTTTCAGTTGTTAGTATTTTCTTCTTCCTCAAATTGACTTACTCCTCTGTGAGCGTGTTATGCCTCCCTGTTGTACCTACTTGAAGGTAGAGAATGTTTCATTTTAGCCTTGGTATCATCAGCTTAGCATGTGCCTTGACACTTAATAAATGTTTGTTTAATTGCAACTGTGCGCTAATTCTTAGAACTAAGTATTACTCAAGTTGATTTTTGTTTGGTGTGATTTTTCTAAAAACACTGTATGATATTAAAATTCATAGTCCTTTTTTCATGTTTGACTTCTGTACCATGATCATAGAGGAGGTATTATTGTAATAATATTTGCAGGTTTTATTGGTTTTCCTCTCTTAGTCCTTTGATATTCAAATCATTCACTTTTTGAAGCACTCTTAAGATTTATCAGCAAAGGTTATAAGCAGGGATAGATAGCAATTTAGGGGGAAGGATGTTTTAGCGGGAATGAAGCAGACAGTTCCTTAGTGGATATTTTCATGTCATAATGACTTTTGCATCCCTACACAGTCTTGCAGGATTGGAGCATGGAGTAATGGATAAGAAGCTGGTTTCAGTATCTGGAGAAGTATGGGTTAAAGACCAACCTATATCACATAATGGCTTTGTGATGCTTAATCTCTCAGAAAATTTAAAAATAATGTAGATATACATTGATTCACATTGGTTGAGGAAGTTTCCTCATCTGGAGGTCATAATGCCAATGAAATGACAGTTCTGGATCAATACTAAAAACAACCTCATAACCATGGAGACTGGAATAATGAATCTTCTGATAAAAGTAGCCCTGTATCAATAATTGAGAGCAGACAAAAGATACAAAGATGAAGAAGTTCAATCCTGCTCTTATGAAGCTTACACTCCAATAAAGTATGATAAGAAAAGATACAAATAGCTCTGTTACAAAATAGAGTATGATAAGTATAAAAATTATGAATAAAATGCTATGATAATTCAGAGAGAAGTATAAAGACCAGTCAGTCAACAAGCATTTATTACATGCTTGCTATATGCTGGGCACTCTCTTATGCACGAGGGATACAAATACAGAGAATGAAATAATCTCTGCTCAAGAACCTTGTATTCTATTGGGAAGGACAATAGGGGTGTGTGTGTGTGTGTGTATATGTGTGTGTGTGTGTGTGCATGTATATGTGTAAATGTGTGTATGTGTGTTTGTATGGGAAACCTAAATGGTTTATGTGGTTCACTACAGTGGTCAATAATCATGTCAACTCTTTATTTACTATTGACTTACTCCTTGACTGCTCCAGTTCTAAGGAAGTCAAGGGGTATGTTTTACAATATCTCTCATTATCCAATTCTTTCTGAGCCCCTACCTTGGTTTATAAAACTAGAGAAACTTCTTTTGCCATATATTTTCTTTAATCTCACAGGTTTAGACAAACCTTAGTGCCACTGGGTATGTAATTTATAAGCAGTGTAACAAACAACACAAAGACCTTTGGATCTTTCAGACCAATGGATCTATCGGCTGTGAGACAGCTTATAGCCAGAGTTGTCTCTTACCACCCATCGCCACTGCTAACTTCACAGCTTTGGAATCACAGACGCTAGAATCATAATCTCACTATTCGACTCTCTCAGTGTGGCAGTTGTCTTCGGGATATCTTCTGTCTAGGATAAGATGACTTAGTGATCTCAGCCTGAAACTCTTTCCAGTACTAAGATGGTGTTCACAGAGCTGAAAGCTAGAACTATTGTTGCATTTGCAAAAGTCTCTTTGAAGACCTTCCATAATGTAAAACATTATTTTTATGTAGTTTTTTTTAAGTTCTGTTCTTCTTTGAAGCATGCTAACTTCATTTTTTAAAAAAAAATCATTTCAGTATCAAGCTGTTTATGTGCCTGATTCATTTTCGTAGCTTGAATTTATCTTGTTTGTACATAGTTGTTTGCATGTGGTCTCCCCCATTACATTGTGACCTCCTTGAGAACAGGAACTGTTTCTTGCCTCTCTTTATATCCGCAGGACTTAGCCCAGGTCCTGGCACATCGTAGGCACTTATTAAGGAGTTATAAGCCGAAGACCTGGATTAGAATTTCAGCCAGCTCTTGGGATAAATCCCATAACCTCTTGGAGCCTTAATCTCCTTATCTTTAAAAAGAAGAGGTTGTGGCAGATGGATATTTAGGTTTTCTTCCAACTCTTAATTCATTGATCCATGATCAGTATTGCCCCCTAAGCCTATTCATTTATCTTACAGTGTGCCAAGTGATTGGTATGTACGATTACACTGCACAGAATGATGATGAGCTGGCATTCAACAAAGGCCAGATCATCAATGTTCTTAATAAGGAAGACCCTGATTGGTGGAAAGGAGAAGTCAATGGACAAGTGGGACTCTTCCCATCCAATTATGTGAAAATGACAACAGACATGGACCCAAGCCAGCAATGTAAGTAATTTTATTGGCTCCATTGCTCTGTGATATCTTAACAGTAAAACATGCAGCATTGCTATGATTCTGCTATAATTTGCAGAACTCAAAGCTAGAACCATTGCTGTATTTGCAAAAGTCTCTTTGAAGACCTTCCATTATGCAAAACCTTATTTTGTGGGTTTTTTTTTTAAGTTCCATCCCCTTTATAGCATGTTACCTTTTTTTTAATCATTTCGGCACCATGCTGTTTACTTGCCTGATTCATTTTCCTAGCTTGAATTTTGCTCATTGTTTTGTTTTGCTTATGTGTTGTTTTCCTCCTTTTTCTAGGAATCATATGTTGTCCATCCCCCACTCAGGCTTGAAAGTCCTCAAAGAGACCCACTATCCCATATCACTGCCCAGAGGGATGATGGGAGATGCAGCCTTGATCATGTGACTTCCAGCATGATCATCTACTGCCTTCTGAGTAGAAGAACACACTGCAGAGCAGTTTACCTCATTTTACATTAGTTGCATGTGATCGCAATGTTTGAGTTATTATTTACAGATATAGAAGCAAAAATTACAAAAATACACAGGATAGTGGGTCCTTTTGTGGCTTTCGTAGTTACTGGAACTGATTTTTTTTCCCCACCTTTGCACAGGTGTTTTCGATAGCTTTCAAATTATTTTTAAATGTATATTTTAGCCTTTTCATAGAAAAAAATATAAATTAAACTATTTCCTTACTATTTTGGTTTTGCAAAAAGACCCACTATCAAGGAATGCTGCATGTGCTATTAAAAATGTTCCAAATATCCATAAATCTGAGACTTTTTTTTTTCATTTTGTCCAGTGTTACTGATCAAAATGTCTTTTGTTTTGTTTTGTTTTCTACTGCAAAGGTACAGGTGTTAGATCAAGTTTTAAGGAAATTAAGAATGTGACTAGTTAAACAGAAATGAGGAATTTTGTGCTAGTTTTTGTATGTTACCAGGTATACCTTGTTAAGTACGTTCTACATCCTGTACAGAGGAAATCAATTTCTTTTCATGGCAAAAGATAGTACCCTTATATGATGCTGTAATCAGACTACATTAATTTTATTTTGCAGTTATCCTGTACCTCCATAAGGAAGCATCTCTGGTTTTGTTTTGTCTCAGATTTATCTCATTGGGGTTTCTTTTGTTCCCTGGGGTGGGAAGAAAGTGTTGTAAATTTTCTTATCACAAATCAGTAAACTACATCCAGGTAGCTGTTATCATTAATACTCCCAATCTCTTTTTAGTCTCTGTTACATGAAGTTTTATTACAATTACTTTTCTATGACAATGGAATGACATCTTTTGAACAAGTGATTATCTTGACAAGAAAGAATGTATAGAAATATCCCTGCAATTAATTTCCAGTGTTTACATTTTTTAACTAGACTGTGGAATTTATATAGATTATATTAAATGGAGCTTACAGTCCACTTTATGTAGTAGATGTACTGTAGCCAAAGCATGTTTGTCTTTTAAACGTTAGTCTAAAGCTCTTATTAAAATGCCTGGTGCTGTCAGCACAGAAAAGAAAAGAAAAAAATGTGTCTCAAGCACAATATATCAGTTCTGCTAATGACTTTTAATATTTCATTATCTTGTGTTTTTATGTCTCCTTTTCTTCTGAAATTCTATGCTGACAGTGTTAAAGGATTCCTTTTCCTTTTGTGGTGCAGATAATGAGTGGGATGCTCCCACTCATTAACCAGCACTTCAGTATTTTAATGGATATGAATGTAAAATATATAACTATATAAAATCTGCAGCTTTAACCATTGTAATACAGGCTTTACAATTAACTTCATGTGTAGATAATTAAATTCTTCATATAAAGGTTAGATCCACATGGTTTTGTGTTCTTGCTATTGGAATCTACCACTGGGCAAAGAATGGTGAACCAGACAACTAATGGTGCAAACACATGGGCTGTTGCCTGGTTACTAATGATTACTTACACAGTTTGAAATCAAGATTTAATCAAATTCTGTTGAGTGACATCTTGCAGCTTCATCTTCAAGTCATATTTGAGTTCACTTCCCCGAGAGTTAACTTAATATACAAAAGATTACACTTATACAGTAGAAACAATCCCATCTCAATTCTGGTATCGAGGATTAGAACTAAAAACCTAATTGGCAGTGCCATATGTTGTATTGTTATCGTTTTGTTGGGGATGTGTGATTCGACCAGTAGCATATTTAAGCTTGTGTAACAAGAAACTATGTTATATAGTGGGGCTTTACTCTACATCTTGACCGTGACAGAAGTACAGAAAGTAATGTTCCCACCGGTTGACATTCCTTCATCCTCGTTCCAGATCTGTTACCAGAATACTGTTGCTATGCATATTTAAGTGACCATTCAGGCAGTTGAGCCAGTGTCAACATTGTACCTCCCTAGGATGGTGGTCCCAAGAATGTGTTTGCTGCAATGATAGCAATATCTCTGCATTTGTGCCTTGATTGCTTGACTTCTAACATTTATTCATTTGACAGATATTTATCATGTGCCATGGGGAATACAAAGATGAATGAGAATAGTTCATATTTACTTAGCTTTTTAAACACATTATTGTGCTTCCCCCACAACAGTTCCATGAGGTAGGTAGTATAAGTGTTATCCTCACTTTATAGATGATAGAAACTGAGGCCCCTGTAATCAAACTATGGTCTTCTTGTACTCCTAGGACCAGTGGGAAATCTAGATTATCACTTGATTGTTTCTCCCCTGCTGGTTAGTTGAATTATAAATAACTCCCATAGGCTTTTGTACAACATTGCCAACTTCTAGAGGGGAGAAACTTTTCTAGGAAGCCCCACTGCTTCCTATGAGTCCTAAAACCTCATGCTATCATAGTCTTCCTCTTCCCTTCTCCTCATGCTCCTCGTGACCTGAAGGAGAAGAGTTGACAAAGTAGTTAAGTTTTAAATATTTTCCCCCCAAGAATAACTTTTGACCTTAACTACACAGAAAGGAGGATGCCTGATAGCCACAACAAAGGATTAGTATTTTAGGTCTTATGCTGTGTTTGTGATACTGGCAGTAGTAGCACCCCAGGAGAGTACTTCCATTAAAGGGACAAATCATTCAAATGTATTTGAAATTTTGCCCTTTGACATATAGAATCATACCTTTAAACCTCCCATCTCTACTCTTCCTCTCCTACCTCCCTTGTATGGTTAGGAATGATATAGTTGATGTGCTTTTGTAGTGGGATGTATATCAGTAATAGTGGTTATTACTGTGTAAAGTTTTTTTTAGTATATAAAATTAAACTCTTTGGTGATCTTGTACCATATGACTTAAACACATGCTTATTTTATACCTTGTTGTCACGTGCTTCAAGTTTGCTGTTGCCATTCCAGATTTGTGTACATACTGTCCATGCTGCATTTTGGAATCACTTATTACAGCTTCTATTAATTGTGTTCTTAGAATTTTAAAACCTGATCATGAAAATTTGATTGGTCAGGGAGAAAAATCATTCTACTTTTAAATGAATAAATAAAATATTGCTAAATGTCTTTTTTATTCCAAGAATTTAAGAGTATGAAGTATTTCCTTGATGACCTTATTAAGCAAGAAAAAAAAAGCTGTAGTCATTAAGTCATTGAATTTGTTTTGGTCTGTTTGGGGAATTGATTTTCATTTAAATTAATGTATCAAGCCTTGGGGTAATCCTCAACTTCTCACTCATTCCACATATCCATATTGTCAGTTGGCAAGTCTTACCAATTCCACCTCCACACCATCTCTTCTTGTCTCTTCCTTCTCTTTACTCATATGGCTGTCACTCCAGTTCAGGTCCCCAACCTCTCACCTGGATTTTTACAGTAATTTGGATTTGATCTCTTTGCCTCTCCAACCCATCTTCCACATAACCACTAACGGGATTCTCCTTAAGTGCTAGTTGGACCGTGTTATTCCCTTAATAAAACTTATTTTATGTCTAGGATGAAATGTAAATTCCTCTGTTGGCCATTGAAAGCCTTTCATAACCTGGTCCCAACATACCTTTCTTTCTAGCCTTATTAAACATTACTTCCCCTCATGCACTCTCTGATCCATCCAAAGCTGGCCTTTAAAGACTTAAGAACAGTAAGAATTGTTCTTCACACAAAACACTCGATCTCTCTCTTTGTTTGTACTGGCTGTCTCCTATCTCTGGATAATACTCCCTCCTCACTCTACCTCTTAGAATCTCTGCTTTCTTTTGAGGTTCAGCTTGAAGACTGATTCCTATATAAAGCCATTCCTGATCTACCTGGCTACTGATGCCCTTTCTCCCAAATTTGACTTTTTTTATTTCATACACATTTTATATGAAAAGCAACATGGTGTAGTGTATAGAGAGCAGGCCTCAGAGTAAAGAAGACCTGGGTTCAGGTTCCACCTCTGACACATACTGGTCATATGACCCTGAATAAGTACTTCTCAATGACTCAAGCAAATCTCTGTGACTCTAAATCACAGAGAAAGTACTAATCTGCACTGATAAAGAAAGTACCTCATCAGTATTTACCTATACTGATGAAATTGCAGGTCTAGTTTTAAAAAAAAAATTCATATATACTTATACTATATGGATATTTTATCTCTCCCATTAGAATGTAAGCTCTTTAAAGGCAGGGAATGATTTTGGTGGGTTTTTTGGGGGGGAGGAGTCTTTAACCCTATGATTTAAGACATAAGGGACATTTAATAAATGCTTGTTGATTATAAGTTGATTATAATTTTTGATGCAACAAAACCTCTCCTACTCTAGAGAAAGAAGACGGAACTAAGAAATCTGAGTGAAGACCTTTACTTTCATAGCTATGTGTTTTTTATTTAAAAAATAGTTTTGGGTCCTTGTTTGAGAGGGCAGAAGTGTATACTGTATATAACATATGTATCACAGGGGCTTATCCAAACACCATAAGCATATCACTGATGTAATTCCAAGTTGGAAAGAGTTTCTGTGCGATATTTTTTAAAGGGTATTATATCCTTATAGAGTTAAAAGACATTGGACATTATGTGTGTAAATAAATTGGATTCTGGAATGTTTGGGGAGGGTAAATTGTACAGTTTTGTAGAAGGAAACACTGGCTGCTTTGAATTCTATATCCCATAGAAGATAATGGAGTTTTAAAATAATATTTGTAAAGTACTTAGCACAGTGTGTGGCACATAATAGGTACTATATAAAAGCTTTTTCTTTTGTCCTTATCTCTGTTTTATTACTCTTTGTTCCTCTGTTTTCATCAGGAATATGAGAAGTATCTTTTTTTTTTTTAACTTGCTGTCTTCTTCCATCACTAGATAAGAAGCCCAGCAGCATCTATTTATGTTTAGGAATGCCCTTTGAACACAGTGTGTCTACTGAGGAGACAACACAAATTAAATCAAGTCACCTACAGAGTGTGAACCATCTTTCTCCCAGAGAGTGACTGACGATGGAAGGGAAAAGGTTGTTGGTGGGGTCTCCTGCTGTCATGTCCGAGCTTTGACTGAGCTAGATTCAGAGAATGTTTTTTTTTTTTTGGCAGTTGGGGTTAAGTGACTTGCCCAGGGTCACACAGCTAGTACATTTCAAATGTTTGGTCTGAGGCTGGATTTGAACTCAGGTCCTCCTGACATCAGGACCAGTGCTCTATCCACTGCGCCACCTAGCTGTCCCTAGAGAATGGTTTTTAGGTGTTAAGAAAAGTTGAGTCTCTGGTCAGTAATGTGCTTTACTACCCCAGAAATATGGAGGAAAAATTTTATCCAGAATCTTGCTCTTCATCTTAAGTTATCATCTGATGAGTTCAGTATTCACCTTCATGACTCCTCGAACATAAAACTCTGGCCTGCTAATTTGTAAACTTTCTTGATCTCCATTTGACTTAAGCTACCCACAGTGATGGTCACTCCTTAAACCTCACTGACACCAGAAATTGTATCATCTAGAACCCTAAAATTCTCATTTCTGATCACAATTCTTGTCCTTAGTCCTTTCCCACTGCTTCATTCCTCCAGATCCTTTTCTTCCCCATTATTCTGACTCCTCGGTCCTGTTCTAGACCAGTAATTCTCTAAATTTTGGATCTCCAGGACTCCTTTGTCCTCTTAGAAATTATTTAGGACCCCAAAGTGCTTTAGTTTATATATCAATATTTACCATATTAGAAATGTAAACTGGTAAATTTTAAAAAATACTTCATTTAAAAATGACGATTACAAATTCATTATAGGCAAAAATAATATTTTTATAAAAAAGTATCTTTTCCAAGAAAAAATTTAATGAGAAGAGTGGTATTGTTTTGCATATTTTTCCAAATCTCTTTGATTTCTGGCATAATAGAAGACAGCTGGATTCTCAAATATGTTTCTGCATACAATCTGTTGCAATAAGTTGTTTTGGTTGAAATATTAGAAGAAAATCCAGTCTCACACAGATATGTAGTTGGCAAAGGGATAGTATTAGGAAAATAGTTTTGACCTCATGGAACCCCTAAATGAGTCTTGGGGACTCCTAGGAGTCCAAGGACCCCCCCTTTAAGAACCTATGTTAGATCATCACACTTGTTCTGCCTTTGTATCATTCCCTTCAAAATCAATCATTTCAACAAGGCATCTTTTGACCCCTGGTTCTTCCATTGCTCCAGCCCAGCCTAAGCATCTAAGAGCTTAGTATGTGCCAGTGCTAAACAGTGAGGTGATAGAGAAAAGCAAAAGCATTGTCTCTGACCTTAAGGAACTCACATTCTAATGGGTGAGATAACATGCAAATAACTTTACTTGTGAGATATATGAAGTGAAAATGAAAGGTCATCTCAGAGGAAAAGTGACTTTCACTGTTAGCCTGAAGAAGTTGTGCCCAGAGCTTTTGAGCACCAATGGAGGTATTAGAAGAAGCTAGATGGTACAGTAGGTGATGTAGTGGATAGAGTGCCAGGCCTGGAGTCAGGAAGACTCATCTCCCTCGTTCAGATCTCGCCTCAGCCATTTACTAGCTATGTGACCCTGGGCAAATCATTTAATCCTGTTTGTCTCCATTTCCTCATCTGTAAAAGAGCCTAGAGAAAGAAATGGCAAACAACTTCACTATCTTCGCCAAGAAAATCCCAAAGTATCACGATGAGGTAGACACAACTGAAAAATGACTGAAAGATGATGCAATGGATCGAGCACTGGTCCTAGAGTCAGGAAGACCTGAGTTCAAATGCAGCCTCCAATACTTATTACTTGTGTGACCCTGGGCAAGTCATTTAACCTCTCTCATTCTCCATTTCCTCATCTGTAAAATGGGGATAATAATAGCACCCACCTCTCAGGATCATTGTGAAGATCAAATGAGATAGTATTTGTAAAGTGCTCGGCACATAGTAGGTGCTATATGAATACAATTATCATTTGTTCCTTTCTCCTCCACCAAAACCATGCTAACTCTCGAAATCATGATAATTAGGCACTCATTGCTGAACACCAGTATTTTCCCTTAATCTTTCAGATTTATTCAGTGTCACATATCCCATAGTAGCTATTCTAAACCTCAAGGTCTCAGCTCTGTCCCTCACTAAACCCTCCACTTTCTTAATAGGATGCCCTCATTTTTCTCAGTAAAGCAGGTATCAAGGCCACCTGTTGTGAGCTCTCTCATTTCTCATCCTTCATATAATAATAATGATGATAATAATAATAAGCATTTATGGCAAGGTTTGCAAAATGCGTAGCAGTATTAACTCATTTTATCATATCTCTGAACCTCTTCCCTCACTGATCCTTTGTAACTCCAGTTTCAGAAGATGAGATAACCCACTTTTTTTTTTATCAAAGCAAATCCTTCCACTTGTGTCCTTCCTCTTCTCTCCTTGGGGACCTTACCTCATAAGTCACTCCATCTCTCATCTTCAATCTCTCCCTCTCCATTGGATCCTTCCCTATTGCCTACATTCTTGGGTTGAGTTGTCCTATCCTAAGAAATCCCTTCTTTTGATCTTTCTGTTCTTAAGGCTTTTGTCCTGTATCTGTCCTATCCTGTATATCTTTATTGCTAAACTTACAGAGAGAATATTCTAGACTTACTGTTTCTTCCTCTTATTCCTCAAGCAAGATCATCAAAAGTCCCTTAATCTCTAATCTGGTGGGCTCTTTCCCCTCAGCCCTTATCCTCCCTGAATTTTCTATGCCATTAGACACTTTATAACTCTCTGTTTCTGGTTTAGTTTCCATGACACCATTCTTTCCCACTTCTCCTTCTACCTATCTATCCAATCCTCTCCCTTTCACTAATTCACTAACCTTCCTTCCTATGTGTGAATTCCCC